GTACCTTCTACACCAAGGTGCTCACGATTGTGGTGCTCACGATTGTGTTCTCGCGAATAATGTAACTGGATTCTGTGTGGTAATCTATTTCGCATCTGCCAAACCACAATTAAACCTTATTCACTGCGGGAAATGGTGCCATTATTTTACTTACAATTCCTTCTCTCAAGCTTTGGTAGAATTCAGTGAAGTTGAATTCAATTTAATTTCTTTTTAAATCATAGTTGAACCCTCACTCATCCCCATGGTTTCACCAGAGTCTGATCTTCCAGTAGATAATTTTGGGGTGGTGAAATGGAAAGGAAATGTACTCAGATGTGAAGCAACTTTTCAGTTCTTCTAGTTGTGAAATAAAAAATTATGAAGAAACTAAGCAACTAAGCAGGGGGAGAAAAAAGAACTAAATGAGCCAGTCCTTTAATAAATGACATTTAAAAAATCTTGTGCGCTAATCCTTCAGGAAAATCAGGAAGATATTTAGCTATTCTTATTTTTAGGTGGAAAAATTACTCTTAATCCTAGAAAACGGAATTTATCAATAAACCATTAAGACAGAGACAAAGAGGCACATAGAATTGTTTTGGTTGGAATGTCTAGGGTCAGGGCCTGATTTTTCCGCTTAATCCTGGGAGCCTAAACCCATCAATTGTCTTCCTAGCTTTCAAACTAGGACCTTTGTGAGAATGGATTGGAAAGAGTAACTCTGGACTGTCCCAGACAAAGTCGGACGTGTGCTTACCGTGTCCATAGTACATCTGGCCCAGAGCCTAGTGGGTACTTGAGATTTTAAAATCTGGAGAATCATGGTAATCCTGAGGAATAGCATTTGAGGCCCCAGGCGCGATGAAGGGCATTGTTAGCCACGCGCATCTCCTCTCTGGTCCTGGGCATCTGTCACCAGAGGTAGCCAGCGATGATTTCCACAATTTTATGACCCTTGGCTGTCATCCCAATAACAAATAAGTCATAAGCCATCCTCTTCCCCTCTGTAAATTTCCACTTCTACACTCTGGCTTTTCTACAAAATGTTTTTGAAACAGTGAAAATAGAGAAAAGAGCCACTTCTCCCTTATGTAACATCAGCAACTTTCTTCCAATGCCATGCGACCCTTCCCTCCCCAAGTACTTGAGCCTCATTGAGGAATGAGGGGCACATGAGGTAGCAAAGGACAAAGGAAACGCTTTGCCTCCAGTAGATAAGTTACTAAAAGTCGAGGGACTGGTTATTTCTACATAGTGGACAACATCTAGGACAATATGAATATTCAGTACTGGTGACTATAGAAAACAACACTTTTCAGTATTACAACAGAATTAGAGGGAGGTTGACTTGAACAGAAAGAGCAATGGGGAAAAAATAGGTAAAGTGTAGAATCTGAATAAGCAAGCCAAAATGGTCTTGCCGGGCAGAAAGATGTATATGGAGGTGTAGTCATTTTGCATAGGTAGATATTGGAGTTCAGGATCCAAACAGGAAGGGAAGCCTTTCTTAGATCTATGGGATCAGGATGAAGGTGGGGCTCCGAGCAGGTGCTGGGTGTCAGGCTGAGGCTGCTTGTGGACGGTCAGAGCATGTCCAGACTGAAAGTACCGATAGACTGTGAGTGCTGACATCAGGGCAGGAGCTGCCCAACCCCTGCCTCGTTTTTTTTTTTTAAAAAGCCTTGGTATGGGTGGGAAGATAGCGACAGGTTTTTCTTTACTTTCCGGGGGATGGCCAGGTCCCATAGGTGCCCATGACTGGTCATTGCTCTATGGCCAGAGAGCTAAGCTCTCCTGGAGGTCTGGCCAGTTAGAGTGCTTTTATTCCATCAACTGAGTGCCTGCCATGGATAATATAAACTGTAGCTCTTGGATCCAGAATATAAGCTGGTTATGGAAACATGACCTAAATGTGTAACAAGTGAAATAGCACAAAAAAATAAGTAATTCAGCTCAACAAGACAAGATTTTGCAAGGCAGAGGTACAGTTTGTGGCCAAATGGATAGTGCATATGGTAAGTGCTGTAGGGGAAGAGATTCGGGAATGATCACTGTGGGTTGGTGAGGTCTGGGAAGAGGAGGGATCCGAATTGTCTTGTCTTTGAATAACTTCAGAGAAACAGTGAAGGCGTGCCAGATGAGGGAATGGAGATAGGAGTGTGGAGGTAGGACATGTAGAGACATTCTAGAAACAGTGATAGAACTGCTTAATTCAAGTTGGGGGTTGAGGATAGTTCTTCGTTGGAGATGAAACCAAGAAGGTAATTGAAATTGAATGTGATAGTGTTAAGTGAAAGAGTCCTCAGCTTTATCTTGTAGACACTAAGAAGACACTGAAAGTTTTTGGACAGGGGAGTAATGTGCCTAGAATTATTCTAGGAAGATTAATCTGGTGACTGAATATGGACAAGTTAGAGGAAAAGACTTCTCAGGTAGACCAGATGTTGGCATTTGCCCTAGTCCTATTAGGAAGTGATAAATAAATGCTTTAATCATGGAAGTGGCAGCCAGAACGGAAATAAAGAGATGGCTACAAAAGACATTTTGAAAGAAAGAGAAATGGTTGTCCATGGATAAAAGAAGACTCATCAAAGGTAAATCCACATTTTTGGAACCAAGTGACTAGAAGAATATTCTATGAACAGAAAGGGGGATGTTAGAAAGGGGCATGAGATGGCTAAAGTTTTAGGAGAAGATAAAGAATTCAGCTTTGGGAGATAGTCTTTGACGTTGCAGGAGGCAGAACTTCCTAATGGAAGATAAGAGGGAGAACCTGGCCTGAGATAAACGGTGGGAGTCGCCTGCATAAAAATGACAGCTCAAACTGTTTGAATGAATATCTTCCAGAGAGAACAGAGTCAAAATGTTGGAAATACCAACATTTTAAAGGAGGAAGAGGAAAAGGAACCACCCAGGCACACAGTGTGCAATCAGACACTGGAGGAGGAGATTACAGATTCTCATAAGCACAGATAAGAGCATCGAGAGGGGAGTTGTGGTCAGCATATCAGATGTTGCAGGGAGGTCAAGGAGAATAGGGGCTGAAAAGGGGCCATTGGTTTAGGCAATTAGGAAGTCATTTACCTTTAAGAACCTTGCAGAACACAGCCCTGTAGTGTGTGGGTGTGCGGGATGGGGGCGTAGACTAAGGAGAGAGCCTTGAAGAAAATGGAGCATAAACCACTGATGACAGGTGAGAAGGAAAAAATTAAAGGGGGAGAGTATGGCTGTTACTCTTCTTACCTTCTAAGTTGGGAATGTGTGACACGGTGACACAGGAAGGCAGAAAAAGATTAAGTCATTGATTTGCTTGGCAAAACTTTATTAAATACCTACTAAGGACCTGGATCTAATTAACAAGCAGAAATTGAAAGCTCTGGGAGAGGGAGAGGACAGTGGAGGGAACTGGAGAGGAGGAATCATGAGAATGAAAGGAGATTTGGGGGTTGGAGATGAGAGACACAGCTTCCTCTGAGACCGGGGAGAAAGCAGAAAGGATGGGGGCTGGATGTAGATTCAGGAATGTTCTGAAACGAAGAGAATAAAGGTGGAAAGCAAGACTGCAGGTGTTGGGCTCCTGGACAAGTGGAAGGTGTCTGCTGGGAGGGAGGGTGGCTAGGGTGACAGGTGACAGGGTGTGAAGGAAAATGTTTAATGACCACTCTAGGTAATGCGAGGGGTCTGAGACAGGAACACAAGGATGGCTAGACAACAGCAGTCCTTGATGGAAATCCCACTGTCCTTGTGCTTCTATGAGAAATGGTTATGGCGTATCTGGGTGGCTCAGTTGGTTGAACGTCCACCTTGATTTTGGCTCAGGTCGTGATCTCACAGTTGTGAGACTGAGCCCCACATTGGCCTCCACGCTGGTCATGGAGTCTGCTTGGGATTCTCTCTCTCTCCTCTTCCCCTCTCCCCTGTTCTCTCTCTCTCTCTCTCTCTCTCTCTCTCTCTCTCTCTCTCTCAAAAAAACGAATGTTTATCAACTACAGTTACATGATGAGCAGTGTTTGTTTTCACTTTCACTGTTAAGAACTTACCTTCCTCATTTCGTTGCCTTATTTTTCGTTGATACTTTTCTATGATTTTTGTTTGTTTTTAGAATCACCAAAATTCTAAATTGTGCAACCATTCCAGAGTTATAGTCTAATAGATTTCTGAGGTTATCTAAATTGTGGCTGAGATGTTGGTACGAAAGAACAGTACTTTATGGATAAATTTATGGATAGATGAATTCAGCAGGAAAAGTTAGTGAGTAGAGCCCATAAATGGTGCTACCCACTCCTTCCCCCCCCCCACAAAAAAAAGTAAAGGTTTCAATGATATAAAACAAAATAAATGACAAAATGTTTTATTTAGACCATCTAAATGAAAGCATCAGACTAACTGCTGATCTACTCAGCCCTAGAGAATTCATTTAAGATGACTAAGATCCCAGGGGGTAATTACGATTCATCCAGAAGCTACCGGATCATGAGTGGCGCCATGCCTGGACCCGTAGAGGAAGATGTTTCTTCTAACGAGTTAACCCAACAGGGTCTGTGACAAGGAGTAGCAGACCGTGTGGGACAATTAAGTCTAACAGTTACCTGGGCCACCTGATACAGTCCTCGGTTTTAGTAGGTTTGCAACCCGGCGAGAATTGGGGAAGAATCTGTTTCTATCACAAACAGTATTTATAAAAACAAGTAAGTCGCGAACAAAGTCCTGATATTCCAACTCTGTATCTGAGTCTTGATTGTATTCCTGACCGACTCTACAATTCTCCCCCGCCCCGCCCCCCACGGGGGCAGGCGGAACGCGAACTCCTCGGCCCCACGAACTGAGTGACCGGCATGTGCTTCCCCGGGGTGGGGGGTGGGGGGGGGGGGATAGATTCACTTTCCCAACCTTGCTTTGAAGTGGGAGGAAAATATTCTCTAGGACCCGAGCCACCGGTCACAACTGAGATGAATCTGCTGAGCTCATCCGTTTCGTGGCGACTACAATATGTGTCTTTCCCTTTCTTTTCCTCCTAGGTATGGCCTCACATGTGCAAGTCTTCTCCCCTCACACCCTTCAATCAAGTGCCTTCTGTAGTGTGAAGAAACTGAAAGTGGAGCCGAGTTCCGCCTGGGACATGACTGGGTACGGCTCCCACAGCAAAGCGTACAGCCAGAGCAAGAACATCCCGCCTTCTCAGCCAGCCACCACAACCGTCAGCACCTCCTTGCCGATCCCAAACCCAAGCCTACCTTACGAGCAGACCATCATCTTCCCAGGAAGCACCGGGCACATAGTCGTAACATCGGCAAGTAGCACTTCTGTCACCGGGCAAGTCCTCGGCGGACCACACAACCTGATGCGTCGCAGCACTGTGAGCCTTCTCGATACCTACCAAAAATGTGGACTCAAGCGTAAGAGTGAGGAGATTGAGAACACGAGCAGCGTGCAGATCATCGAAGAGCATCCACCCATGATTCAGAATAATGCCAGTGGGGCCACTGTAGCCACTGCCACCACATCGACTGCCACCTCCAAAAACAGTGGCTCCAACAGCGAGGGTGATTACCAGCTGGTCCAGCATGAGGTGCTGTGTTCCATGACCAACACTTATGAAGTTTTAGAATTCCTGGGCCGAGGGACGTTTGGGCAAGTGGTCAAGTGCTGGAAACGGGGCACCAATGAGATCGTGGCCATCAAAATCCTGAAGAACCACCCGTCGTATGCCCGGCAGGGTCAGATCGAGGTGAGCATCCTGGCCCGCTTGAGCACAGAGAGCGCCGACGACTACAACTTTGTCCGCGCCTACGAGTGTTTCCAGCACAAGAACCACACGTGCTTGGTCTTTGAGATGTTGGAGCAGAACCTCTATGACTTTCTGAAGCAGAACAAGTTCAGCCCCTTGCCCCTCAAGTACATCCGCCCAGTCCTCCAGCAGGTAGCCACAGCCCTGATGAAGCTGAAAAGCCTCGGTCTCATCCATGCCGACCTCAAACCGGAAAACATCATGCTGGTAGATCCGTCTAGGCAGCCGTACAGAGTGAAGGTCATCGACTTCGGTTCGGCCAGTCACGTGTCCAAGGCTGTGTGTTCCACCTACCTGCAGTCCAGATACTACAGGTAAGGCCACTCACACAGAGACGAAGTGGCGAGGGCCCGGCGGCGCTCACGGAGCGTGGGCGGTGGCGGCCACTGTGGGAGAAGCCAAATTACGTGCCCACGGTTGTTGCCCTCAAGTGATCTCAGTTTAGTCAGAAAACGAGGACACGTGCACGTGGAAATGATGGTCAGAGGCCATGCGAGACCGGAGCCAAGTAGGCTTCTCGGCATAGACCTTCGGAGTCAGAAGGGAATCCCTGGAGGCTGGGGTGGAGGGCACCGCCGGGCAGTTAGGTCCTCGTGGGTGAGAAGGATCCAGGCCTGGACGGGGCGGGCACTACCGGAGTCACTGTTGCAGGAAGCCTCCAGACTTGCACGGGAGATGAGGAGGACCCCCGCCCGCACAGCGGGGCACCTGGGTGGTGGCAGATGTGATTGAAAGGATAAACTGGGGTGTTGGGGTCTGAAATACCAGACCAAGGGGCCACAGCTGCATCCTTAAACATAGAGCAAGCACTGAGGCGGGTGAACGGGGTGGCAGGACGGAAGGTGAGGCGGGGAGAATGACTTTTCTGTCCCCAGGGAGGAGGCGGGGCAGGAGGGTGAGGTGTGGCCCAGGGGCCAGTCAGCTCATGCCTGGTGGGAGCTCCAGGTTTGGAGCCCTGGATGGGGAGTGTGGCGTTTGCATTCCTTCTGTCAGTCAGCAAGGATTGACTGCCCTTCCAGCGCGTGCCAGGCACATTGCTGGGCCCCGGGGTACAGCACAACACCCCGGCCAGACCCTCTGGAGTCTCTGGCATACTTGTTCCCAGCCCTGGCCCGTGGGTTGCAGTCAACTGCGGGG